ACGTCCCCGGTGCGGGTGGCGGTCCCTGAGGCAGCCATCCCCAGCCCGTTCACTGCCCCTGGTGCCGGCCCCGAGGAGTAGGAGGAGATGGAGGAGCTGGTCTCTGAGGTCTGAGACAGCTGCTGCAGCTGCCCATTGGTCACTGCAAAGGCATAGCAGGGACAAGGAGTGACACACTGTGTGGCCACAGGGAGCTCCAGTTCCCCCCCTAAGGACAGGGGACATGTCGGGACCCACAGGGCCATGGGGACTGCAGGGTTGCTGGTGGTCACATGGGGAGCTCTGTGTCCCCTACAAGGGACATGTGTGGTCCCACAGGGTCGTGCGGACCAGCAGGCTGCTGGCCATTGCATAGGGATCTTCACGTCCCCTCCAAGGATGGGAATGTGTAGGACCCTGCAGGATCACAGGAACCACAGGGCTGCTGGCTATGGCATGGGGCTCTTCATGTCCCACTCTGAGGATGGGGGACAGCTGGGACCCTACAAGCCCATGAGGACGGTGGGGATGCTAACCATGGCACCAGGAGCTTCATGCCCCTTCCAAGGCCATGGGACCTCCTGCACGTGGACCTTCTCCCTCCCCTCAGTGGCCAGATGCCGCTTGCATGGGGGTCCCAGCCCCTCCATGTCCCAGCCCAGCGTCCCTGCTGGTACCCGCATGGCATTGCCCTTACAGCGACTGAGCCAGCAGTACTCGGCCACCATCTCCTTGTAGGCAGGGAACCGGCCTGTCTCCTAGGCACAGGGGGAGAGGAAGAGGGGGTCAGCGCGCACCGGCCACCCCGGGTGAACCCGATCTGGTACCAGCCATGAATAATGCATCCCCCCCACCACCCGCCTGAAACCCAACCAGCCAGCAGCTGCACCAGCCCCACAGGCGCCGGGCCGAGCTGGGGCAGCGCCAGCACGGGGACATGCTGATCCCCTACCTTGCCTGGGGTCCCCGTGGGGCTGGGCACTGGTACCTTGATGGTTAGCATGATGTGGGTCTGCCCCTTGAGCACCTCCACTGCCTTGCTATGGCTTATGTCTTCAAACTTGACTCCGTTGGCTGCAAGGACTTGGTCTCCCACCCGAATGCCATTCTGCTCCGCCAGCCCCCCAGGGTCCACCCTATGGCAGCAGCAGGGGGACATGATGGGGCCGAGCCCTCGCTGGAGCCCTGTGCTGCCCCACACCTCTGCCTGGGCGGCCCCATGCCCCAGCAGCCACAGTGGTGACGCCCACCATCTTATGAGCGTGGGGGGCTCAGCCAGAGAGGGGGTGCCAAGCCCCAGCGTGGACACAGCAGGGATCAGGGTGCCGCGTTCCCCTTGTGCCCCCCGGGATGGCCATACTTGGAGACGTAGATGCCGAGGCCGAACTCCCTGCCGCCGCGGATGTTGAAGCCCAGGCAGTAGTCGTCAGAGGTGGTGTAGAGGTGGACAATGCGCCGCAGCCCATCCTCGGAGCCACTCTCAGATGGCGTCGAGCCACTTTTCTCCACCACCAGGCGCCTGTTCACCACGTCCACCCTGGAGCACGGGCACAGTGTTGGGCGGGTTTGGGGGTCCAGCTCTCATCCTCCAGCAGGATGGAGTCATTGGTGTCACCCAGCGGAGGAGAGGGACGGGGAGGGGGAAT